ATTCGTCTTCAAACAACAATAATAACCGATTATATCCACTTTAAAATTATTTATAATATCAGGGGACAAGTTTGAAGAGTACATAGAGGGTAGGTGTGAAAAATTGTTCGTTAATGCGGTGGCAGATGTGAATGGTAAATTTAGCCTACAATTGTCCATAATGTTATCGACGAAGATAATATGTATTTTACAGTTCAGTTCAGTATTAACACAATATCATGTGTCTGTGTTTACAGAAAAGTAAAACCGTGACGGTTAACCCGACCAACTCACAGTTCACCAACCCTACCACAAAGCAACACCTCACTCCCAGTCATCCATTTGCGAATTAATCATCTACGTCAACACAATCACCACTCAACAACAACAAACACAACACTAATCGCTCCTCAACACTACCCTATGCATACACGCCTACTAACAACCACTGAGAATGTAATACCTTCTCTATCCCATATACACTACTACTATAATGTAATAGTTTAATAGTGAATCATTGGTATAAAAATGAAGGAGCAATTAAGTCTGAGAAAATAAATTGACATTTTGCAAATGAAATATTTACTATATGATTTTCAGATTTTACTAAGATATTCTGTAATGTTATGTTCAAATATATTCGATTGTCCCCACTTGTATGTTCTCATTCATCACAAGACTATCAGTTGGACGAAATTTGAGACATTAAATAAACTTTGTGTATAAAATACTTACATCAATTTTAGGTACATTTGTTTAATTAAGCCTATAAAATTTCCTTATAAGGATACAACAATAATATACATACACTTAGTATTGTTTGTTTGAATCTTCCCATTGATGTTTTAGAACTGCAACTGGTCAGTTTCGAATTGGCATATGTGCATACTGTACGTATTGCCTCGATATTGCCTTAATTCATAAGCATTAAAAGCAAAGATGGATAGTGGCTAACAGTGGAATCCAGTTTGACGCGCGTTTCGTCCTATTTGGGACTCGTCAGTTGGATGTACCTGCATCTCATGGACAGGTATATAGAATTTACATCAGAAATGATAAACATCAGTTTTGTGTGCATCCACAATATTATGTTGACTAACTTTAGCTATTCAACTCCAGGTATAGTAGTTATTTGAAATAATGTTCCATCTAAAGTTTAAAATTAGCATTCACTATGTAATTTGTCATGATTTAAAAACTGAAGTACATGGATTAATCATTCAAGCCAATCATTTTCAATAACAAGTGGATCATTAACATTTACTATAGTTAACATTCTATATAACTGATTGAACATCAAGTAGTGACCAATGTCATGTTTTCGTATAATCCTTTTGTGCTAAGCGAATTTTGTCCATTAAGTTACAGTCTAGCTAACTGGATGTCCGATGCATTATATTGAGATGTTAAGTGGTAACTACGGCTACGTTTTGTTGATAAATGCCAAATAGCATGAAACCTAGGTCAAATACGGTTGCTCGTCGACTATCTTTGACCACCTAGCGAAACAGTTAACGTTATGTCAAAAAACTAGGGATCCATAGTCCTAGTCAATTTTCCCTATGGAAAATATAATTTAATAGCCTTTTTTCAACATCAAACTATAATATATAGGAGTAAGTTAACATGTTTATCAACATACAGTTTCAACAAACATGTGATATCCGATGTTTACTGGCTAGCTAGTGGCTCGAACTGTTTGATTTTGACTACTGTGTGTTGATAATACCGTGACTCAGTGAGTTACTTTTCACTTTATCTGTCTATCCATTCATATCAACATTTCAACTACACGACTTTGTTTATTTAGCCTGTGTTTATGCTAATCTGTGTACGTGGGCTTGTATACATGTGTGTCTATGTCTTTGTGCATGTGTGTGTGTGTACTTTTATTTATCCAATAAACAGAGTTTCCTACTTTCTGGCCGTACATTTTTGTTAACCATGAGAGAGAAATGTTCCATTGTGAATTTCTATTCGCATTTATAATGGTTTCAAAAGTAAAGTTCTGTAAACAAATGATCTGGAAGTAAAGAAAAGATTTGATGATAATAATGATTGACAGTGTCCGAAAGTGACTGGACTATATCCATTAAACCACATGACTGTCATGTAAATAACTTATATTTTACTTAGTATTGTTTGTTTGGATCTTCCCATTGATGCTTTTAGGATTGTAACTGGTCAGTCTCTAATTGGCATATGTGCATACTGTGCGTATTGCCTCGATATAGCCTAAATTCCCAAGCATGGTAAGCAAAGATGGATAGTGGCTAACAGTGGAATATAGGACTCAAGTTTCATCCTATTTGTGACTTGTCAGCTGGAGATGCCTGCATCTCAGATTTGATGTTCACTCTGCGACTCGAACCCAATACCTTTCGCTTCACCCCATTGCACAAGCAAGTGGCTATCAGGACTCAGTGGCCAAGTAGATAACACGATGGCGTTTGAAGCGAAAGAGACTGGGTTAGAGTCCCAGAGTGAACATCAACTCTGAGATGCAGGTACATCCAGATGATGAGTCCCAAATAGGACGAAACGCGCTTGCTGGATTCCACTGTTAGCCACTATCCAAAATATTTGATTGTTAATGGCTTCAATATTCATCAAAAGATAGTTAGCGAAATTATCATTGGGAAAAGATGGCTCAGTATGATAATGTGTTGAAATCGAGATTAAATGTAATCAGGAGGATCAAAGAAACAGAAATAAACCAGTTGAGGGTAGAAGGCCTAAGGAGAAGATGGAAGGGGAAGCAGATGGCTATGGAGGAATAATGGCAAAAATAAAGAAAATAATTATATGACATTAAGACCATGGTAGAAGAAGAGGTTATATCAATCTCTTTTGGACACATAATTATGGTTTTCCCAGATGTATGGTTACTGCTCCGGCAATGCTAAGCAGATGCGATCTAATTGTTTTGGGAAGACTTCTACTTATCTTGTAGATGACTTTGAACGCAAAGTCCGTCTTGATCGGGTGACCAGTGTTCACAAGGTGTTCGATTATTGAACTAATCCCTCCTCCTCTTCTAGAATAGTTGAAGTTTATTTCTGACGTGTGATTTGTGATCAGTTTTCTTATATCGTTTAAAAAAAGAGTAAAGACCAAAGCAATTCTCATTATTTAAACAATTTATTTTTAAAATTAAATTTATTCTAACTAGTTGTTTGACTCTTTCGAGTGGGACTCCTCAGCAGTGCGCACCTACGATCCCACCTCGGGAGATTCAAACACAGGACTTATCAATCTCTCACGCGAGCGCTCAACATCAAAACCACTGAACCGGTGTCCAACGGTGTTAATGTCTAACTTCTAATGATCCACGAAATTGAGCGACATATCCACCATTGTCTTCAGTGAGTTATTATCTCACAACAGACCTAGTTGAACTCCACTAGTCACTGCTTCTCACTAGAACTACAAGAAATACCTTTCGAAGCTAGTCATTAGTGAGCGTATGTTGACGAATATCAGAAGGGGTTTTTGTGGATATTATAGTAATTGTAATAGTTGAGATCATGAGTTAATTGAAGCTAGATCATCACGGAAAACCTAAAAAAAAGACAATTTTGCCAGTTATATATCATTTAATGTTAGAAGTGTATTGTAATATATGTACTAATAAGAGAAAAAGAAAGTTGGTAGGAGGTAACAATTTTGGCATTTATTTCAATTTATTGATCGATTGATTAATCGATTAATTGATTGAATTAGTGATTAATATTTTACTGTTATTATTACTGTTGTGTTATAATTATTTGATCATGTTAATTTTTGTATTCTGGTTTTATTAAATAATCTACTTCAATATAAATTCATATTAGATAAATACTTTAGTGTATATTTTTTTGTTATTGATAACAAAACATAGCCAAATAGAAGTGGGTGGTGACTAAATTTCTTGGATTGGTTGTTGTTAAACATTAATACTGTTGGATAATGGCTCAAAAGGTTTAGAGGTTAAGCGTTCATGCGGGGATTGATAAATTCTGAATTCGAATCCCGCGGGGCGGGATAGCAGATACGTACTGTTAAGGAGTCTCACACTATGACGAAACGGTGGTGGTCTAGCTTCAATCGATTCATGATCTCAACTATCAAAATTTAATCATTTTTTTTTTACTTTTCAATAATCATAACCGACTTTTTTTTATTGAAACAAGGTATTTGTACTCTATTTACACACTTTTCCGTTTATTGGTTGAATAAATATATATCAGTATGGGTTTGGGCACAACTTTGAAATTTCATTAAAATCATGAATCGATCTAAGTTGGAAAATCATAAAAAAAACCGGAGATCCTAAGTTTCATTACCGCTTGCGCTGTCGTAGATGGACGCCACTGAGGAGCTCCATGTTGGGGCGAAACGTTCGTTTGCTGTTGCCAGTTTTTCAGTAGTGGTCTGACATTGATCTGTCCATGGTCTCAATATATATATATATATATATATATATATATATCGTTTATCATAAGCTTTCATTTGACCTATTAGCTAATATTATTCAACTTACTGCTCTTGATTTTATTCCCAATCATTTAGTTACAGTCTCCCATACATCCACTTTTGTCTTGGTCCTGTATAATTGTAATTTTTCATTTTTCGGTGTGTGTATCCTGGTCTGCTTGTATATAAACTACATATGTCTGAAATATATTGTTCATACAGTGGATGCGGATATTGTGTTTTAAACTCAACGAATAGGGCTAAGCGAGAAGCTACTAAATCGAGGACTAATAAGAATCCAGAGTTGACCCTAAGGCTGGTAGTGCGTGTTAACATTTCATTGAAGTCATGGAAGTTGGCATTCTGTTCGGCGATTTTGTCAAGTGATATTTGACATGGCAAAAGTCATAACATCTCACTAACAGAGTTCTTCAAAATCTAAGTCCTGATGAATCTATCAATCTATAACCAAACTTGCTCAAACTAAATTAATCTTTCCAAATCACCTGCTAGAGAGATCATAAAACTATTTATCTTGGTTTCTTTTTGTTTTCATTCCCTTTTAGTTCACATTTATGCAGACTCATTTTCAAGTAAATGTTCCACCAGTTTGTACATTAGTAAATAAACAACCAAGACAGTTGATTTCATGCATAACAATATTCTCATTAATAATAACAGTACTACTACTACTAATAGTAATATGAATGTAACTAATAATGTAGTAGTAACACCAGCCCATTTACTGACATTATTACCTGGAGCTATTCCACCGGAATCAACAAATTATTTCTATGGAAAAATTACACGTGAACAAGCTGAAGAATTATTATTTACAAATGGAGCTAATGAAGGTTTATTTTTATTACGTGAATCAGTAAATCGAAATTATGCTGTATCTATATGTCATTTGGGTCGTGTACATCATTATAATGTTGAAAGACAAACAGATTGTTCATATAGAATTCAAACAGGTAAGTTATCCTTTAATTAGTATGTGTCGATTTAATGATTTTTCAATGCCTCTTGGTTTTTATTAGGCGGTATACACTCCTAATAGTACTGGTATTCATTTACTGACCAGCGATTAGTTTCGAGAGCTGATTCCTATAGTTCTAGTGGGAATCTGCCTCCAGTAGATTCTAGCAATATTTGGTATAGGGCAGTTGCTCACACGGATGTTTGAGTAATATACTAAATGGTTTAGAATCAAACATATAAACGATTCAACGTTGCCCCACTGGTCTAAATGTTAAGCTCTTGAAGCAAGATTTCTAAGTCTTTGATTATATTCCTTCTGAATTCATAAGTGTGCTTTGCTGAATAGTCTTTGTTATATCCCGATAAGAATAATGAATGGTGACTTTTGGGATCTATTTATGGACCAATACTATGCGTACATTTTCATCGTATAATTGTTAAATAACTAAACTATTCATATTTATATCCCTCTTATTATGAGCATTATTTTGACCTATGAACTATTATTATACAATTTACCATTGTCGAGTTATGCCCTGTCTATCAATTACTATCTCCCTTATTCAAGGCCACATTTGGCTAAATCTTGTACAAATGTTGTTTCCTATTTTATGGTACAATTTAGTCTGCCTGGTTGGTATATAATGTTTAAAATAAATGATTTATACATCAGAGGATGAGATTGATGTTCTGGAATTAACTGGATGGGCTAGGCAGAAAGCAGGACCGATAAGTACTGTAGACTGTTCGTACGGGTTCTATCCGTCATTGGTCCGATCGATAAATCACTATTTTCTAATTAGCAGTATTATCCCTTTATACAATAACAGGGCACACAGGCCACAAGCTATAACAGTCTCACACTAGAACGAATTACCTATTCAATACATTTTGGTTTTCATTAATTATTCAAGATCATTCTGTGATGTAAGCTATGAAATTCAACTATCTCCTAGTAAAGGTATTTTCAAATTAGCTATCATATTAGACTGATGTTAGTTGAAGAATGATTAAAAACTAAGAGCGTACCAAATGGCTTTCTTTTTTGTTGTTTTAGAGTTCTCATTTCACATTCTCTCTTCACCAGAGATCGGACTTAGACAGTTAGTTCTATCGGTGAACATTTGAGTTACAACCTAATTTTCCACTATTGAAACCCTTATAGTTTTAGATTAAATACAAACTAATGAATTACACTCTATATCATACATTTAGTAAAGTAGCAGTAGTAAGGCAGCACTAGTAACAGTAGGTTAACATTAAATCTAGGTTATTTTAGCTGTAATCAGTTATTAGATTATAAGGTGGTTGTTAGAGGTATTCGACATAAACGGGATCGAAACTTCCAAGGAGCACCAGTTCCCTCAAAATCACGAGTTCAAAGTAGCACGAAACCTAAGTCTTTATACATGGTTCCCTGTCAATTTCCTTCAACTACCACCTTACATCTCAACATAGTGCATGTGATATTGAGTCGTCTAGACTAGTGGATACATTGCAACTTGGTCGATAGAATCAGATTTGCACGAAGAAGGACTTGACATGCATGATATTGGTCACTCACTACCTAGTGATCAATCAATTGTAGAAATTTATTAGACTTGATTGAAACCTACCAAATGACTAATTATTATGGTAATAAAGTAAACTACTAGGTTCAATTTTTTTGATTATCGAATAAATACCGTTAATGTATGCTCCTACTTTAATTTAACTCGTATGCAATCTATTTTATCCTCTGTACTGATAAGTTTAAACATAGTTCCACAATGTTTTGACGTTCGTGTACCATGACAATAAGAATATTACTTAGAAACCTAACAGTCTAGTCATACTTTTGTTTTTACCTATTTATCTAGCGCTAAGGCGATGAATTATGCTTGGTATATTCAATGTTATATATATATATATATATATATATATATATATATATATATAGTCAACTAATCTAAAACAAGGGATACTACCCCTACCTCAGGGTCTGGAAAGTCGGAAAAATGAAAATTTCGCAAATGCGATAAAAATGATCTTGGTGGTCTTGTATTAGTATTCCGACACCAGACAATGGGTTTTAAGCGTTCTTTATGCCCTGACGCTTCAGGCTGGGCTATATCGCTTACTGCTCTACATATATAAGCTATATTGCCATATAGAGCTGAAGGTCTTATGTGAGACTGGAGGTTTGCCATTGACATTGTGGGTGGTTCGGCATTACTTTGATAAGTTTTGGTGACTGTTCATGTGAAAAGTTGGTTTGCTGGTTAACCGATTTCATTCATACTGGTGGTTGCTTTTCAGTGTTCTCAAGGGCTATTGTCATTGGAGGAGCATTGTAAGGCATGTCGCCATTGCGAAAAGTAATGAGTTTGACTGCCGTGTAAGCGGAATGGTTCAACTTTTACCTGTTCATGCTGTGCATAGTTGATTTACGCGATCACTGATCGGAATAATTATACACGGAATTTGAATGTGTATGTGAATTGTGCGAATGGTCCACCAGGGTGCTTGGTACTTGTGTGGTTGCGCCACAGGATTGATCTGTACTGTTTGGGTTGTTACGTGAAAGTTTGGATGGTGTCTGGTTCTCCTGAAAACCAATGCGAAATTACCCTGTCCCACAAGGGTATATTATATAACTAACTAAATCTAAAACAAAATAGTATGTTGAATTTCAAATCAGTTGTCAGTATTATTCAGATAATACATCGTGCTTAAAGTATTTTAAATTGTCTATTTGGTCATTGAACAGGATAAGCTATTAGCTAGATAGGTATCCAGACTAGGATTAACGTCCAGTGAGACCGAGATTTTGAATTATTATTATGCGTTAAATACTTTTTAATCATCTAGTTTTCTTTTAGTAAGCTGACAAGTTTTCAGATTAATGGTCATGACTGAAAAACGATTATTATCGTGTTTTATATTTGAAAAGTGAGAAAAGTTAACTTGTTTTCGGTGATGGGATTTTCTGTAGAATAGATTTAAATTACGATGGAATTACACAAAGTTGAAGAAGATTTTGAACTCAGTTCGTGTAACAGACTCAAGACTAATGGGAAAAGTTATTTGTTATTTGAAGCAATTAGTTAAATGGATAGTATGCTAGTGTATAGTTTTATATAGACACTGAGTTTGACTCCCATTATGAATATCAACATTGGCATTGTTATATCGATTACCTCTGTGCCAAGTTTATATATATGACATTATAAGATCGCCAATGGGAGAGCAGTGAATTTATTGATCGCCCAATGATACACAAAAGCCGTATGAGCAGTCTTGAGTACTTATCAGTCCTGCTTTCTGCCTAGCCCAGCCAGTTAAGTCCAGAACACCAATAACAACCTCTGCAATATGAATCATTATTCTCAAATATACTGGATTTATATATCAAACAAACTGACCACATTGTACCATAAAATAGAAAATAACATTTGTACTAGATTTGGCCAAATGTGGCTGTGAATAGGGGGAACAGTAATCAATAGACTGGGGATAACTCAAGAATGGTAAATCGTATAATAATATTTCATAGGTCAATAATAAAAGGAACATGAATATAAATAATTAAGTTAACTAGCAATTATACAATAGGAAATATACGTATCGTATTGGTCCATAAATAGTCCTCAAAGTTACCATTCATAATTCTCCACCGGGAACAACAGAGATACAGATATATATTCAGCTGGTGAGACCTAAATAGGATAAAACATACGTTCTGAATTCGAATGGTAGTCATGACTTTATTCAAATATTGATAGGTTGTTGGAAAGTAACTTGAAATTAGTTTTCATCACAGACTAAAAAAACTTACTAAAAAACAAACAAACAAACCGGAAAACATTGAACAAGTGTTTTTATGTTCTAACTAATAAGTCTTGCTGATTGAACGCTATGCTCGGATCCTAAGCTAGTCTCGTAATCCGTAAGCTAAATCTACATAGCGACTTCAATACGAGAGAAAAGGCGCAAAATATACGAGAAGCCACTTTACTCCAAAGGTTCATTTATGCACAAAAAATATATTGTTTTTATAGTATTTTAAAAGTCCCTAGACTTTCCTGAAAATTCTAGAATGCTACTAAACATAGTAACAGTGTAGTAATTAGCCAAATCAGAAACTCTATAAGTGACTTTTCTCACTGTCGTGATATTTCTAGCAAAACGTCTAATCAAACACTGATTGGATAAAATGTTTCTTAATGTTTCCTGAACTTGTCACATATATCTATTGCAAGAATTTTTCAGGATCACCCCCCCCAACACTAACTTTAAGTTTGTTTTTTTAAAGGGGTGAGCACATTGGTGAAACTGAATTACCCTAACCTATGATTTTTCATTTGATATTAATTCGTGATAAAAATACCAAAAAAAATTTTTTTTTCTCTTTTAAAATGAAACAAATTTTTACTTGTCATCAAATTTTTTTGTGTGTTTTTGTTTGTCAATACAACAATTTTTGACAATATAATCCATTTACAGTAAGTATTATCTTTTCCCCTTTTCCTTTCCATCTTGGTTACAAGTATATTCTTAGTCAAGATGTTTTCTTTTGTCATATCTGATCTATTTTTTTTGTTTGGTTTGTACAAATATGTAATAGAAAAAACTAAAAACAAGACATAGTTTTGAGCCAGTTACACTTTGTTTGCTTCATTTAAATTCATATTTATTCTTTTAATCCCAATTACTTTGACATATATATATATATATTCATATCAGAAGGGGTTTTGTGGAGATTTCAGTATTTTCATAGTTGAAAGCGTGAGTCCAATGAAGTTAAACCATCAGGGAAAACCTGGAAGCAATGGATGGCCGTTTCGTCTTATTGTGGGACTCCTCAGCAGTGCGCATCCACGATCGCGAGATTCGAACCCAGGACCATATATTCATATGCTTTATATGATTACATAATAAATATGATAAGAAATAACTAATTGGATTGGGGTAAAAGAAAATGGATAAGTTTGATATGTTTAGTTCAATTATT